TTACAAATTTCTATCAAGTGAAACTACCAGAATCATTCCTTCACCTGTTTTGTTCCACACTAACTCATCTAAAATATTTCCTTCTTGGCCTGAGTTGATGTTGTGAGGAGGATAACCAGGGCCAAGCTGAAAATGTATTGGATTTTTACTCCAAAGATACAAATCCCTCTTATAGATGGGAACTTGCTAACTATGTGGCCATCAACAAGCTATGTAATCACCCTGAGCATTGAGCTCTTCAGTTGTAAACTCAGGTCAAAAAGTGGTTAACCCAATCATAGAATATGTACTATGTATACAAGGCACTGGCCAGGTAGTAGATTACTATAAATACTAACATTACTTAATAAAATATGGGCTCCAATAATAAATATTTCTTGTACAGATTTGCTTGAAAAGAGTTGCACAATTTTGTCTGTTGAAACTGGAGTCTTTTTCATGTTTAGCATTTGATTTTAGACCAAAGATAATAATCTTAATGGTCATATGAGAAACAGGACAAACTGAAAGTTTTACTTAGTAACACAGTCCCTCTCTCTCAATTATTTTCCATCATAACACTGATGTTATGTCAAACTTGACCTGGAAGGATTTTAACTGTTTAAAGTGTCTATTCAGAGGGCCTGAGAACAATACATTAAGAAAAAGGAATTAAGAATTTCCTTATAGTAATGATGTTCAGTTAACACAGGCGATCTAGACGTATGCCTGTTAGCAAGAATTGTCATACCACCTGTTGTTGAGTGTTATTTTCATTAGGACTTTGGGAAAGGATTAGGTTGATGATTATCCAGGTGAATTTTTATATAGAGATACCGTTGACAGTTATTTTCATTAAATAGTTTAATAGAGCACTTTTTAATCCATTGAGCATGCATGAATGAAGGACTGATGTCAGAGCCTTCCCCCAAACTAAAGTATTCCCCACACTGCTTTGGTAGGCTTAGGAGACCTTTCCTCCACGTGTTTACCTGAGATTCAGACTTATTGTGAAGTACAGTGAGGAGGGGTAGGTCAGCTGCAGACTCCAGCCTGGCCTCCTGTTGAATGCAGCAGATAGCTCTGCATCATCATCCTCTCACTTGGTTTTCATTGGAGCTGTATTGTGTCCTCTCCTTTTTATTCTAGAACAGATCTCGTGCGCATGCTTGTATTGTACTGCATGTTTACTTAAGGCAAGGCAGGTAGACGGGCAGAGTATGCTTTTCTATTGCCAGCACAGGTGTGCCCTGAAACAAGATCAGGGAGACCAGAGAACTCGCAAGGTCACTGCCGGAGTTCCAAAATGCAAAGAGCAGATGGGATGCTAGAGCTAGCCGCGTCCAACTATTTCACACCAGTGAGGAAACTAAAAGTCAGAAAGGTCAAATAATATATGAAGATTATTTTAAGGTAAGAGACAGAATCATGAGTTCATATTGGAAAGAAACCTGGCCTGATCCACACCTGGCACTTCCTCTTATCAGCTTTGACTCTTGGTCAAGGTACATTATTTAACTGAATCTCGGTGTTCCTTTTTATGAAGTGTGTGAAGTGGGATGTTTATACCACAAAACAAAAAAAAAGTCAGTGTGTTTTTGGTCACCTAGTTATTTTAGTAATTATATTGGATTAACTCTACTTAAATGAAATGTAGTTATATTTTATTATAGGCTCTTCCACTGCCTCCCAACAATCACTTTTGGTAGGCACATGTACAGACAGCCCTCATGGAAACATACATGGTCATAATCCTAATGTCATTCTGCTACTGAAGAAGAGTCATCTACACTTTCCATGAGAAGGAACTGAGATCTCAGGTTGAAGTTCTGTCCAGGGACACCCAGAATGAAAGGCAGTCTTGCAGTCACTTGGTCCTTCGCCAACCCAACAATCACTCCATGGAGCTTGTAGAATTGGCACTGACATCCTGGCTTTCTTCATGCAGCTAACGTTCCCTCTTCTGTAATAAGGCAATGCTTTTCTTCCTAGCAGATGATTTCTTAAAGTCAGCCCACCATTCTCCCTCTGCCCCAGGGGAAAAGCAAGCAGGAATTGGGACTTAGGGAAAATCCAAGGTGGACAAACAGCGGTTGCTTACTTCATGTAGAAGAGCATGTGCTGACCCATCTTGAAAGCACCTGGTGGAGCTGGCCTTGCCTTGCAAGTTTTGGACAGCCATTCACTTGCTGCCTACTACCAGTGCTGGATAAAGAAAGCATTTTTGAAGAACTGCAGGGGCATGGCTATTTAATCCCTGCCTAATCTCTGGAGGCCTACAAACATTTTGATTTTTCAAATTTAGATCTTTAAGACCTAAGGTTGCAGAAACATTATGTTTATAGGAGGTCCAAGCTATGGAATTCAAGAAAAAGCAGGGAAATGAAAAGGTTGACATAGGGTTACCTGGTTTGAAAATTAGAGAAGCAAAATCCTGTTTACAAAATTATCATTTTTGTTTAGCAAGATATGTAGACTTAATTTTGCACAGAAAATTGCTTAGGAAAGAAAAAATCTCAGTGGAGCCCTTTAAAAGCAATTGAGTATTTTTAATAAGGCAAATCTTTTGATTCCATTTAGCCAAAAACTCTTAAAATCCAACACAAGTGTTCATTAAATGCTGCTTTACAAATTTTATTGTCTGCTTAATGACCTAAGAATATTAACATTCTTTGGACACTTAATTGTAATCATTATGACATACACTGAATTTTTTAAACAGCCATTAGGTAATTCAGTGTCATTTAGTGCCTCTAAACTGTCAGTCAGCTTCCTGATATTTTCTCTAAAAATTGTAAAATTAATTTATTCAGAAGCCTGCAAATTTCTAAGCAATTGTGTCTTACCGCCAAGTAGTCATTTAAAGCCTAAAACTCAATATATGGTGTGATGAATAAGGACTCTGGGGAGGCTTTGCATTTCATTCATTAAGAATGTTAAAAAGAATGTGGGCTGGACTTAGGACTGTCATGAAATGATGGCAGCCTCACTCCTGGAGAGGGGACAAGGAGTCTCTATCCATGAGCCAGAATGGAAAAATGCTATTCCCCCTTTTGAATAGCTCTCTCCCTTAACGGCAACAGACAGAATATGTCAGCAGTTTTGGGAAATCCTGGCTCTATGCTACGTTCTACACCCATGCTGCCTCTGTGGGATATAGCTTCTTTTCCTTCAGATACAGAATGTACTTCTTGGGGTTTTTGAGAGGAATCAATTCAATGTAAAAGATGAAGTGTTTAGAAATCAAAATCTGTTTCTTTGAAATCAAAAACCATCTTAACGGTTGTTGCCCTGGCTACTTCTTAAAACCAGTACCAAATACTTGACTTTGGTTTTGGTGATAGTAAATTGTTACTCAAATCTGTTATGGCTGACCTTTACCACTGCCGCAGACTGGTGGTGAATGTTCAATGTCCCTGTACTCAAAAGAAAGTGTGTGAATGAATGTACACAAATCTACCCCATTGCTAGAAAATGAACTGATGCTATCTTGATCATCTAGTGAAATATGGAGGGAAGTTTGTGTAGGGCTGTAGATTTAAACTAAACTCCCTACCCAGCTCACCATCACACTTAGACTTCAACTTACTCATGTTAGCTACTGTTTCCACCACTAGCATATAAAAGCTCTATTTGGGCAGGAGTATTTGTTTAATTCACCATAATATACCTGGCACCAAGCACAATAACTGATGTGTAGAAACATGAATGAATGAATGAGATCGGTATAGGGTGACTATAAAAATGCTCATCTGTTTGCAGCTAAGGAAAACCTGGAAACTATTAAGAGTGCTTCACTAAATTCTGTTGTTCAATCTTACCATGTAAGATTAAGACAATTTGATTATTTTAATATGTTCTATATCAGTCTCATCAATAGTTTTGTCTGTTTTCTTCTCTCCATGAAGCATGAATAGTCAATGCCTCAGATGCTAAACTTTAAATGAAAGAACAGCATTAGCCATAAGCCCACTCTCTAAAGAAGTTACCCACCATTGAATGTTCATAAATGCCCACCGCTTACGCAACTTCATGCAATCAAAAGGCATGATTATAAGTAATGCCCATAATTAAGCAAGGACATTTGAAAAATCACTTGCTTCTACAGTACTTCAGGGACCTGTCAAATTATCCCATGGCAGATTGGAAAATAAGGGCTATGTTCAAAGTCATGACCCAACTGCCAGTGATGTGTTTCCATATTGTACCATGTGGGAATCACCACTGAGCAAATGCCAGCTTTGTTTATCAGCTGCAACATGAAAAGATGGGCCTGTAGGGATCTTCACAGAGAAGGATCCAGGGCAGATGGACAAGAAGGTCAACACAGCTCCCAGGATACGCTTGCCTTCATCAATCTTCAAGAAGGGATTTCCTCTGTCTTTATACAATCATACAGAGAGTGGACAAGGTTTTGACAGGACCGCAAGGGGATGCTTTTCTCGGTGTTTAAATTTCTCTGGTTGCTGTCTCCTTGAGTTTGGAGAACACTTCATTTTGTAGGATATTCCTAAATAAGACTGTGCACTTGGTGTGTCCAGGAGGAAACAAAGTATGCTTCTATTTCCACATCTAGAGCCAGTGCAAACAGTTATTAAATATTGTTAGAGAAAGTATAAAATGATGCAGCTGGCTCTGGTAAATCATCTTAATGCCTTCCTTTTGCACCAAGGCTTTTCCTTCCTTCTTTCTGACCTGCACTTGACCCTTCTGCTTCATTCAGGGCCTTCTCCAAACAAAGCCTTGTGATTGACCATTAGTGAATTAGATCAGTTTCAAGCTTTGGTGTCCCTATTTCCAGAGAGAGACAGATGTAACATAGAAAAGGATCCATGAAGAGATGTACTGCATTGAGATGATCTAATTTAGTCTCATGCATGTATACATGCAATAAATTTGTTTCCTTTTGAAATGTACCATGGTTGCCCTTTGATGCTTTGCCATATCCCAAGTCATCACGATGGGAAAATTCGGCTCTGGTTGAGACATTTTAATGTACAGCATGCAAGACAGGTACTCACCAGCACTGACCGTGATGGCTTCAATGAACTGTTCCCTCCAGCTGTTTGTCCCGACCACAAGGGCCAGGTTTGTCTTCTTAATGAGTTTATCCACAGTACTCTGCAAAGGTAAGAAAGAATCAGATAGTAACTGCTCAGTTTCTTAAGGCCCAGGGAGCCCCAAGATCTTGTGATCCAACCCCTAAATTACATATAAAGGGTAACAAATGTTAGGTTCAGAACAATTGCATGGGCATCAAACAGTGTTATGATTATGCAGACAAGCATGGTCATTAGTTGGAGAGACTCTGAAATGAAAACTTCTCAGTACTAAATACAACCCTCCTTTACTGATTAGTAGCCAATTAAGAATAGACTCATTGTTTCGAATAACAGGTGTTGCAAAAGTTCATTCATTCCCTTGAATGTTTGAGACTGTTTGTCTACTGCCCTCCTTTTAACACATTATGTGCAACTAAATTTATGTACACATTGATTACCATGACATATCTGAACAATGGGAAATGGCAGGCTTGTTTTATTTATTTATTTATTTATTTATTTATTATGTTAGTTGATGAAATGCCACCTGGCAGCAAACTTCAAGGTCGCTTGCTGCATGATCATGGTAGAATTTTTCTTTGGCTACCGATTTGGTCAGCCTTATGGCTTTTACAGAATTATACTCTCAGTCAACTCCTGATGCAAAGTAGAAAATACAAGCGTAGAAGAAAGCTAAACTAGTTAAATGCTTTTGGTTTAGGGCACACTACACTTTACCTTGCACTACGTTACTCTGACCCTGTTTTGCTGGCTGGGGTTGTACTGAAGACTCCTTGATTTTCATTAGACTGGTCAAGTGCTTAGTTTTGTAGAATTAGCATTTTCTATTGTTGTAAACCGAGTTACCAGAACAACAGGAGCAGTCAAGCATTTGCAAGAAAACTAAGTCAGCAGATGCACTCAAAGCACTACTACAAATCATGGCAACTACAGGGAGAAGGGCCGCTTCCAGGCGATCAAGGCTGCTTCTCCAGAGAAGCAATGACAGACTAATCTACCAAACATCCACACTTACTGTCAGAGCATCCTCCAATTTCCACTCATTGCAAAGAGGCAAAAAAAAACATGTATTAATTTTCTTAGGTCTGATCTTTACATGTTTAATGCAGTGTACCTGAATTGACTATGGTCTGAGAGGCAGCATTTTATCAGCCAACATAGAGTAAGGAAAAGGCAGTGGCGGGGGGGGGATAGAAAAGGTCAAAATCATGTTATATTTACAACTCTGCTGGTTCCAGACAGAGGCACTAGAACTGACTTGAAACATTGTCTTTCTCCAACGGGCTCATGTTGTGTTTGCAGCATTATTCCTGGCTGGATTGCATGTCTTTAGGGTGGTGACATTCAGCTCCTAGCCTTGTGTTTGGAACTGCTGGTGCCCCTGATAAAAGCCATAACAGCACGCCTGTTGCCTATCATAACTTGAAGCACATGACATGCATCTGCCTTTTCTCCCCTACTCAACATCTCTTCAAGCACTCTGAGCATCAGGGTGAGGCCAATTCAGAGTGCTGCACAGAATTTAACAAGAAATGACCTTGATTTTCCTATGCGTAATGGAAATTTGGGGCAGCTCTCTCCAAAGGGACATTATTTGTGCAGAAGCTAAAACAGAGCATCTCACCATGTGAGAGATAAACAATTGAACAGATAGGCTGCTCTACGTTATAACACAAGCTTTTCTGCAAAAAAATATGTTTAAGAACAATTTTAAAAATACACTGAATGTAAATCCACAATAGTCTAAATAATAGTTCATGTTAGTCCTGTGGAACTATGGTACAGAGGGTTTTCTTAGGACATAATTTGCATACATGTCACTCTTTGAGCTATGGGGAACAGGATAATTAATAAAGATGAATTTGAAGTTTAGAAACCTGAACTCAGACATTATTCTTTGCATTTAGCTGGATTCCAGGGATCCTAAATGCCAGCAAAAAAAAAAAAAACCCTGTACTGTACTAACTTTGCAAGAGTTTGTCTAAACGTCACCATCAGTGAGGAGTGCTGGTGAAGCCAAGCCTTTGGTCTCATCACATTAGGCAGCAACTCAGTGCAAAAGCAGAGTGGGAAACTGAGATGTCACCTATGCTTGGCTTCCTAATCAGGTCTGCAAGCTGAGAACAACAATTTTTTTTTAAAGATACTTCATTTGAATGTTAGTGTTACAGAGGGAGATATAGAGACAAACAAGTGGAGATCTTTTCTGTCAATTCACTCCTCTAATGGTTGTAACACAGCTGAACAGGCTGAAGCCAGAAACTTCTGGGTCTCTTCCATGGGTGGCACATGCTCAAAAACTTGGGCTATATTGTATTGTGCTTTCTAGGTCATTACTAGATCAGCAGTCTAGCAGGTTAGATTTAAATTTTTGTCCATATGGAAATGTCAGCAACATGGGTGGCAACTTAACATGTTATGCCACATCTGAGCACCCCAGAGGAACAAGATTTTTAAAATAACCATGTCTTAGAAAAATAAAATTTCTAAATGAATGATAAAAATCTCAAAATCCATGATTGGGGGCAGTTCAGAAATATGTCCCTAAGGCATCCTTTAGATGCTGTAAGTGCATTGGTGAACTTGGAGAGATGAGGGGAAATGACTTCTGTAAGCTGGTCTGGGAGGGTCAGTACACTGAACAAGCATATTTTCATTGAAATGGTTGGGGTCATCTCATAAGAGAACGCATCATTCCCTGGGAGAACCCAGGGAGGGGCAAGCTTGTTCTGGTAATGCCTCGTTACTGTTTACTCTCTGCCCTCTTTTAACAGGAATGAGTACAAGGAGGAATTCATAGATGCTCAGTGGACTGAAGGAGAGAGCTTAATTACATCTTAGCTTTTTAAAAATGTTTTCATCGCAAAGATATTTTACTTTCACTTATCTCCTGTCAGAAAAAGTTTTTAGAAAAATTAACAAATGGACCCAGCACTCCAGATGAAATCGTGAAGTTTCAAAGTTGGGGCCTGATTGTCCCTTTTGGAACCTGCATTGTGGGTTTTCAAGCAGGAGCAAAGTTTGATTTTGAAAGACAAGTAAGGAAAATATTTCTCTGCTCTGGGTTTGTGATGTTGGAAAGGATAAGAGAGGACATATTTTTTTCTTGTCTCACAGCAAAGTGAGGTATGGTTCCTTTTAAGGCTTTTACAGGGGTTAGGACTGGAGGAGTGGGAAGGGATGAGAAATGCGATGGGTGCAGACAGAGCAGCTAATAGTCAACAGGAATTTTTCCATCAAAGTTTTAAGTTCATATATTTAACTTCTAAAAAGCAATGACTTTCATTGCTTAGAGAACTGGGAATGCAATTTTTGTCAGCTCCAATAAAAACTCTGGTTGTAAGCAATGAGCCGTCAGTATGTAACTGCACTAAAATGGGTCTAGAGAGAGATAGATACATATAAATGAGAGTGTGTCAAAGGTATGTCTCCTTGGGCGAGGGAACACAAAGTATGTACTCCCTCCAAAACAAAAGCCTGCTAACCCAGCACTGCGAATAATTTTCTCGTGATAATGTTCACCTTTCCAATAGACGTTGGTTTCTTTCACATGTAACACCTTTGTGTCTTCCTCACTATCCCCTTAGACAAAGCCTTTCCTCTGGGGCACATCTAACCCTGTGTAGTGACAGATGCCACCTCTTCGGTTCTTTCCCTGATGTGATTTAGTTTACTGGATCTTTCTGTTCTCTGCCAAATCTACAAAATCAGTCTGGCTCTGAAGACCTCTCAATTCATGAGTTAATCTCTAAAATCAAATCTACATCTTTTTCCAGATCACTCATCTAACCCAACCCAGGGTATGCCTGGCACCTTGGCTGGGTAGTATTGGTGGGCATACCTTGAACTCATAGGATTCTTCAATGATCACTTCTAACTTGGTGTGTTCTCCCAAGATAGGGCGCCCCATTTCTGCAATGCGCCTCTCCTCTTCCTCTTTGCTGGTCAGTGGCTGTCTGTCATCATATTCATCTGTGAAAAGAAAAGTGAGACAGTGAGTAATGTGTCCATTTGTATTGAGAACCTCCTACAGCCTGCTACCAAAAGCATGGAGGCATACCCAAGGTTGTACAAAACGGCCCTTAGTGAAGGTCATGAGTGTGAGGGAAGAATTGTTCAGAGGCTTGTTGTACTGAGCAGTATAGCACAGTAAGCGTTGATGGTAACGTCTCAGTGTGAGCTCATGTGAAAGTGCAGATGAGGAAAGTGATGCATGGGGGCGGGGCAAGTCACTGAGAAAGAGTTTGCACATTTTCAGGGCTCAGCTTACTGTTGGTACATGTTGCTGAAGGGTATGCTTGAGGGAAGCCGTAGCTAGGGTGACCCTGCAGAATGAAGAATTGTGGTCTCTCCTTCCTCCATTTTCGAGAGGGAACAGAAAATGCCCAAGGGACAAAGAGGTGGTGAAAAGGACATTCTGATCTTAGCCTTTCACTTGGGAAGAGCCCCTGTTGTAAGTTAAGCATAGAACAACAACATCACTGGCAGTTTTAGTGTTTCCTTGCTCTGGTACAATATCAAACTGTGTCAGGAAAACCCTGACCTTACTGAGCTGCAAGTAAACAGGGAGTGTGAAGGTGAAGCCTTAGGGGTATTACCATTCATTCCATATGTGAGCATGATTATTTCCAGAAGCACCGCATAGTGTACACACCAGGAGAAGCCAGCAGAGTGCTAAGATGTTAATGGATTCAAGAATCCCCTAATGAGGGGGAAGCTCACAGTTGGCTGTCTCTGCATGTTTGTTAGGATGAATTCCAGACTGGGAAGGCCAGGCGCATGAGAGGGGCACATACTAGTCTTTTAATTAGCTTCCCCCCTGAGGCCCAGGATGCTGGAACCAGACAGACAACTTCCTGTCCATGTCAAGCAGAATAAATACAGCCCCAGCTTGGCTGTGATGTCCTCACCTCTGGGACTCTGGGCAGAGCACCCAGGTCAGGAGTTTGTTAGCTGAGAAGACATCCAAATGAGAGGGTCTTCTCACCCAGGCTTCCTGCCTTCTTTACTTAGGAATTAGTGCTTCACACCTCCCATTCCTGGAGAGCCATGGCTTCTGCTTAGCTAGGGTCCCTGTTGAGTGGGGCCTCGTTTGCTGTACTAGTGATCACAGAAAATAATTCCTAAGACAGTTGGCCACTGCATTGAATGTGACTCAATGTAATTTAGGTAGGAAAAAATGGAGACAGTGTGTCGCAAAGGAAGTGTGGTCTTTGCTTTCCACTTCACAAAATAGGAATTGGAACATGGTACTAAAATATGGATAGTGTGGTAAATGAAATCAAATAAGGGTAAGCTAATTTTTAAAAGGATTATTTATTTGAAAGGCAGAGTTAACACGGAGAGAGGAGGAAAAGACAGAAATTCGCTCCATCTGCTGGTTGTCTCCCCGAGTGGCTGCAACAGCCAGGTCTCACTCCTGAAGGTAGGAGTCGGGAGCTTTAGCCTGGTCTTCCTTGTGCATGGGAGAGGTCCAAGGAAGGCAAAGTGCCTTCCCCTGATTGTTCTCCCAGGCCATTGAGGGAGCTGGGATGGAATTTGATCTGGTGTCCATATGTGATGTGGCACATAAAGCCACATCGCCATGCCAGCCTGTGAAAGATTCTTTTTTATTTAATCTTACAATCTTTTATTTAAAAATTTTATTCTGGGCCCGGTGTGATAGCATAATGGTTAAGATCCTCACCTTGAACACACTGGGATCCCATATGGTTGCCAGTTCTAATCCCGGCAGCTCCACTTCCCTTCCAGCTCCCTGCTTGTGGCCTGGGAAAGCAGTCGAGGACAGCCCAAAGCCTTGGGACCCTGCACCTGCGTGGGAGACCTGGAAAGAAGTGGGCTCCTGGCTTTGGATTGGCATAGCACTGGCCGTTGTGGCCACTTGGGGAGTGAATCATCGGATGGAAGATCTTCCTCTCTGTGTCTCCTCTTCTCTCTTTATCTGCCTTTCCAATAAAATAAATAAATCTTAAAAAATTATTCTATTTAATCTACAACTACTTGTTACCTTTTAAGATAGAGAAAACAGTTCTCAGGTGCAGATAATGGACAGAATCTAGCTAGAACCCAATAACATTTGTTTCCATGATCAACTTTTGTTTTATTTTCCAATTATGGCAAGCGATCATAGTTTTTCATGTGTTAGTGACTTAAAGTTGTGTCCTAAGAACCAACTAAGTGAAATTAAAATGTGAGGCAATGTCAAAATATATTAAGGAAGCAATAAACATAGTTGGCAGGTAATCAAAGCAAAATTGCAAAAGAGATATGAAAATGACAAAAATGTAAGAGTCTTATCAGATATCATACTAACCTAAAGGAATGTAGAACGTCTTAGCTGCAAACCACACTCTTTCCCTATCTGCTCGTCAAAGCTTTGCTATTTCCATCAAATTAAACCCTCGTTATTTTTCAAGACTCACATTTTATTACATGAACTATTCCCTAGTTGACGATCAGAGACTCAACACCTAAAACTCTGGATACAGGAAGAAAAGGAGTATGTGGAAATTGTGATCTCACCCACCTTCCTGTAGTCCTTGATCCTATTTACCCTAATCACCCTAATCACCTATGTAAAAATATTCAAAAAACAATTAAACAAGTAGAAAAATTAATGTTATAACCTTACATTGATTCCGTAATATTCCTTATGTATACTGAGCAGGAACTCTCATAAATCTTTTTTAAAAATCTAAGTTACTTTTATATACAAACACAGAAAATGAAATTTGCTGGAATAGAACAATGTTACCATCTTTGAATTGTCCTCACATCCAGCAGAACCTATCAGATTATATAAAATGCAGTAGGTGATCAGTGAGAATTTGCTGTGTGACCTTCTAGCTCCCGGTTTGTAAAGCCTCCTTATTGCACTGTCCATTTAAAGGTTACTTAGTCACTGGATACATGTCATTACAGCCTCTTCTAGCCCTGAGCCTCCAACTCTCAATAGCTCAATAGCTCATATACATGATGGCAAGATGGTATACAGATGGACAACATTTAGTGCAGCATGGTGAGGGTTGAGGCACCAGAGTGGAGGAGTAACTGGGTCTGCCCCAGGGAATCGGGGGAAAACTAGGACATTGGTTTGGGACATGAGCAGGAGAGAGTGATGGCAATACCTAGAAGGGTGGGAGTATGGACATGAAGGAGCATAGTGTGGGAGGAATCATTTTGTTCTTAAATCTGTATATCTGTAATACAAGGGATGTGTTCACTATGTATAAACAAAAACAAAAAATGACTAGTAAGGTGAGGGAATGCGTTGTAAGTAGAGAGAAGTCAGAGCTTACAGACACAGCCAACTTGGGAGGGACAAGGTTATTTACACTTAAGATTTGTAATGAATGTTTAAGAGATAATTATATTTGCAGGCAATTGAGACATGGGAGCTGGCTAACTAGTAAGTTAGTATGTATGTTCTAGATTGTTTACATTGGCCAAAAATGGGGTATGATCTCTATTTTTAAAAGTATTCCTGTTAGAAACATTTATTGAATAGGGAAATGGTTTAATCACTTTTGTTCACTCTCATTTGTTGTGTTGTTTCCTTTGCTTTTGAACACTTGATCAAAAGCAGATCATCGCATTATGGTCCAAATCATTTTCATTTTCCTTGTTATGCAGAGTAATAGGCTGTGGTTTCGGTTGTGGTTCTGAGGCAGAGAAAATTAATTCTACGTGCTTTTAACACATATTCCTTTAAAAAATACCATATTTTATTGAGAAGTTGGGAATATGTTACATAATTGTAACCACGCAAAGCAATTTAAGAACCAAATGCATAATATTTAATAAGCACTGTTAAAAGTCAGCATTGACTGGACACAACTTAGTGCTGGCATAAAATTACCAGTAGAGGTTCTTTCTCCTAATGGGTTTTGCAAGCAATTACCAATGAAGAGTACCAGTGGGTACCTGGGATTTGGGGAAAGCAGAAGTATGTGGAGCTGCTTAGAAGCATTGTGGTTCTTGTTCATTTCTAATGCTTTCTGGTTCCAACTGCATTTTAAGCAATGTGGGGATTGCTACTAGAGAAACCCACAAAACTCATACAGTCTATCTCAATGTAGACATTGTTCCCAGGCAGCTACTGGGGGTACTCAATTATATAAATAAAACATGTTCATCCTAATGAAAAGGGAAAATGGCCAGTGATAGAAGAATTTGCTTAGCATAATTTTGATACTTTATTCAGAGCAATGTTGACAGTCCCAAAGCAGAGATCTCTCGAAAGTTTCTAGTGCTTTTCTGTCTGTTCTGGTAAGAGATTAAGGAGTCTGGTACTTCTTTAAGATTTATTCCATCTTATTATTGGAAAGGCAGATCTAAAAAGAGGACATACAGAGAGAAAGATCTTCATTTGCTGGCACACTCCTCAAGTGGCTGCAATGGCCAGAACCAAGCTGATCTGAAGCCAGGAGCCTTGAGCCTCTTCTGGGTCTCCCACATAGGTACATGTCCCAAGGCTTTTGGCCAATCTCTGTTGCTTTTGTAGGCCATAAGCAGGGAGCCAGATGGGAAATGGATCAGCAGGGATACAAATTGGTGCCCATATGTGCTCCCATGGGATGCAAGGTGAGGATTTGGCCACTAGGCCATTGTGCCAGGTCCAAGTCTGGTACTTTTATTTCCATGACAATATTAAAGAACATGTCCATAATGGGGGCTGGACGTTGTGATTAATGGATGCAGGCATGGGATTGAGGATGAGGAAAGTGCCCCTGAGTTGGGGAGTAGTGTTTCTACTGCTATTGCCCTTGATGGACAAGGGTGGTGACTGAGGAGCAAATATTCCTGTCCTCATGCAAGACTTAGGGAAAGGAGATGATAATCCAGGCTCTGAATCCATAGTAAATCTCAGAGACTTGTATAATCCTCTGTTGACACCATCAATTTTTTGTATTTCCCCTATGGAGAAACCCTACCGATGTAAAAACATCTGTGCACTACTTGGTTAACATCATGTCGTCCGGAAACAAGAATAGAAACCCCTGGGAAAAAATACAGTTAAGCTTTTAAAGATTGTTATGATGATATGTGGGATGAGAGACTCATGAATAGGAGTTATTACCAACAAATATGGAATCTACTGAAACTTGAGAGCAGTTATTGGATCGGTGGTTCCTGTAAGTCTATGCTGCTCACCCTCCTGCCCATCCACCCCCAGGGTCCCCTGTTCCACCTTGATGTGGTTGCATTTTGTTACTAATCCTTTGGACTCTCAGATGCCAGAAAAGCCACTGCATCCCATAATAAGACTTTAAATAGGACAAAGGCCAACATATGAATTTAATGTCAAAAGACATAACACTTGAAGACTCTAGTTTCCAAGGACTGTGATAAAATGAGTACCTGCAATGGTGATTACAGTAGAGGGAATAGGATGATCTCTAGCATGAACTTTCCTGAAGACAGGTTGGCCTAGCAAAAGGACAGGTAGAAAATCAGCAGAGTAGATTGCACTATTTTCTGTCACATCTTTGTGGAATTAGTAAGCTAAACAGCACACCAGATGCACACATTGCAAGCAATGTTAGTAGGAGACTAAATGGTCACAAATCACACTTTGGGTCAAAGATAGTTTTTACTGCAGGAAATTGACACAGATCGCTCCTCACAGATTGGTCCAATAATCCATGGGTCAGATTATGGAGACTCATCCATATTCCTGCAGGTGCCTTAGTTAGAGTACCCAGATCCCTAAAGTTACTGCTTCCAGAAGAATCATGAAACAGAAAGAATTTAGCATAATGTCAGTGTCCTGATTTTAAAGCATATTAATATTAGTGGTATAGTTGGAGTAGGCTGTTTTTCTGCATGTAAAATGTGAATAACTACCCACTCTGTCATGTTTGTCTAAAAGTCTAGTAACATAATACTTGGGACCATGCTTACTCATTCTATTTCCCGAGAAGTCTGAACAGGAGAATGTTATATGCATTTGCAAATTTTGCAAGGATAAGTCACAGCATAGACAATAACTGTTGGAACTAACAAGGTACAGGGTTTTCGTTGAATTACTGGTTCAGAGGCCTTCCAGATGCATCTGCTGTTTGCTTTGATCAAGAGGGAATCAGAACTGTCCTGGTAATCTTGGCACTCAGTGCCAACTCCATTGCTTGTTTGCCATCTAAACATGTGAAAAGCATTTTTTTTTCCTCAGACTCATTTTTTTCTCAGTTGCAAAATGAAATATAGTTGAATTGGGCTGTGTACATCAAACTCGGGGATTGGAGTGATAAATTTTCAACTGTCAGTATTTTCACTGTTGGGTTTTCTTAAAAAAGGCATGTAAATGACTTATGATGTGTATAATAATTAGAAGAATAATATTAAGGACAATATTGATTGCTCTAGGGTTATAGCTATATAACTTAGAATATTTGAGGATCAAATATACCCTTTCTTCTTTATTTTTAAAAATTAAGAATTCTGGTTCAGTATAAGTATTTATATATGTTAGTTTATACCATTCCTCTTAGGTTTCAAGTATAATGGTATTTAGAAGATATAGGCCAACTTTGGATTGAAAAGGTGTTCATTCTGAAATTTTAAGATGAATGAGGGAAAGCTGGGGCTGGGAAATATTTCATTAGTGGGGTTAGGATAGGCAGTACACTCTTGGAAACAAAGACAGACGACCTGGCTCCACACCTTGAATAGTTGATTTGGGACAGACCAGTGAAGTTCTTGAAATGTTCGTTCCCTCTTCTATCAGCGAAAACAACAAAATCCTATCCTATGATGTTAGTGAGCAACTATTACAATGAATAGTAAGTGTTTCACTGACTTTATTTAGCCATATGGCAGGCAGTTCAAAGTGAGAAGCGATCATAACTCCAAATAAGATTTTTTTTTTCAGTGAAGCAAAGTTTTGTAAATTCCCAAAGCCCCTCCAAGCTTTGAATGTCCACTACTAATTAAAATCTCCAAAATACTGGTATTAGGCTGGGTGGCAAATGACTTTTCAATTTTCATGTACTTTGCTTCAAATCTAGATGCAGACTTGTAACTGTGCATAAGTCCACAAAAAAAAAAAAAAAACTGCAAGCAAACCTAAGGGTTGAATTAATTCTTCTCTATCGCCCCTACCACTCAGAAGTCTTCACTTCAAAGCCTTAAATGAGCTTCAAGCTGCTTTTCTCTTAGTAGGCTTCCATGTCAGAACTTCATTCTGGAGTGTCAGAACAACATGGATCTGGACATTAGCTGTTAATAAAGAGGGGTCCTGGAAGGTGGCCCTTTTCTAGGAAAGCAAGAATGGCCAGGCCACTGCAGACATTGCCATAATATTCTGGAACATCTTTTTGTTTTTATGCATCCATTTCAAGTTTTGGAAAAAGGTCATAAAAGAAAAATTGTTTTTTAGATTGAAATTTCAGCCAATAGGAATAATGTATTGAAGAAATGATAGAAACCTTCAGATGAAGTGATTCTATCATTTTGAATGTAATATGTGGCCAAGGTAGGAAATACTACACATTATTGAATGGAAATTATAGAACTCAGAATGAAATTTTAGGAAAGAAAAAAATTAGGGTCTCATTACCTGAGGTATAGAAAGGGAAAGTGATTCAAGTGATATAGCAAGAAGGCCTTAAAAAAATCGTAATATAACTGGTAAAGAAAATCAGAAAATATCTGTATACGTCAGTGCATTTAACAGGATATTCTTGAGTCTGGGATATTTTCAGTTGAGATCTCATTGCCAGACACCATAGAAGTGACGTTACTGCTGGATAGGATGCTATTTCTATGGTGGCTGACTTAAAAAATATCACAATGACGTCATAAAGGCTGGTTTGCCAAATCTCTACCTTCTTCAAATCTTTGAACGATAACTAATTTATTTTGGGGTGACATAATCAAAATATTTCTGAGATGACTTGAATGTGTTCAAGTGACGGTGAGAAAAGTTTAAAAATGCAAATTCTTGCAATTGAATTAAAAAATAATCATCAGTGGTATAGATATCAGAAAATATTACTGGGAGATCTTTAGAAAAATCAAGTTTAAGAAATCCTGTATGACGGCTTCTTTTGTTTCAAACAGCTATCCTTTTTATTTTTGAAAGATTTATTTTTATTTGAAAAGCACATTTTACAGACAGAAAAGGAGAGAGAGAGGTCTTCAATCTACTGTTTCACTCACCAAATGGCCACAACGGACAGAGGTGAGCTAATATGAAGTTCAAGGGGCCAGGAGTTTCTTCTGGCCGCTTCCCACATGGGTGCAGGGTCTTAAGGACTTGGGCCAGCCTTTGCTGCTTTCCCAGGTCACAGACAGATGGATCAGAAGTGGAGGGCCTGGCGCGGTGGCGCAAGTGGTTAAGGTCCTCACCTTGCACGCCCTGGGATCCCATATGGGCGCCTGTTCTATCCCGGAAGCCCCGCTTCCCTTCCAGCTCCCTGCCTGTGGCCCGGGAAAGCAGTGGAGGACGGCCCAAAGCTTTGGGACCCTGCACCCGCGTGGGAGACCCCGAAGAGGCTCCTGGCTTCGGACCGGCATGGCACCGGCCGTTGCGCTCACTTAGAGAATGAATCATCAGATGGAAGATCTTCCTCTCTGTCTCTCTTCTCTGTATATCCACCTTTCCAATAAAAAAAATAATAAAAATAAATCTTAAAAAAAAAAGAAGTGGAGCAGTTGGGACACAAATTGCTGCCCAGATAGGATGCTGGCACCGCCAGTAGCTTGCTTTACCACCCTGCCAACCCCTAACCTTTTCAACACCTTACAGTCTGAGTCATTTTGCTGTTAAAGACTATGTCCAGGAGATATCAACAGTGAAGAGCAACAGTTCATGTGAAGTTTCTCCCATATTTAAAATATTCCATTTTGGACAGAATTATGTTGGAACTCCTTGCTACTGAGTTTCCACAATACAACCTATTTCCTGCCGTGGTATTTTTATTAGTAGTAATTTTAGAAAGATTTCCTTTTTCATATTTTTTTTTCTGAATTTAAAATTTTAATATCTGTACAATGTATTAGAAAATTCTTTCACATTTACTCATGATACTGGGCTGTGATATTTAAGATACAAATGTAGGGCAGTAGAAATACCCTCAGCCTGTAGTTACAAATTAGGGCTACTTTATGATATTTGTCCCTGAATCCACACAGATAATTCTGAAAGGGTAAGAAGAGAGTTAAGGTCAACAAGGGGCGCTGCAAGGAATTAGCAAAACCCTACTTCTGTTTTCTTATATACAAATGGAGGTTAAGTAATGTGGTCAACATGGAGCCAGGGCTGCGGCTCAGCAAGTTAAGCCACCATCTGTAGTATTCCACATTAGAGCCGGGTTGAATCCAAGCTGCTCCATTTCTGATCCAGCTCCCTGCTAACGTGCCTGGGAGAACAGCAGTGCTTGCATTCCTGCACCCATGTGGAAAACCCAGGCGGATTTCCTGACTCTTGGCTTCTGCACTGGCACAGTCCTGTCTGGTTACCGCAGCCGTGTGAGGGAGTTAACTAGCAGTTGGAAGAGCTCGCTACTTCTTCCTCTAACAATTTCAAATGAATAAATTGTGAAGAAAAGTGCTGTCAACACAAGGTGATGCTAATCTGGATTTAAGACTTTAAGACATCCTGAGATTCTACAAGTTGTTTCCAGTATGACTCGTGACCATATTTACAGGAACACATAAAGCCCCAAAGTGCAGCTCTGCTGGGCGTGATGGAATCAGGTAGGGATTGTTCTGCTCTCTCCATACTTGATGTTATCTATTACGAGGAACCAGTTCTTGTGCTATAGACCAGTCTTCTATGTCAATTCCTGTGCTTATTCGAGGCCAATGTTATTACTGCTATTCTTTGTGTTACCTACCAGCATCCACTGCACATCATTGGTGCTACGTGAATATTTGAGAATTAATGTAAAATGTAAACAATTAGTCTCTGTAGGAATTTTCCATCAAATAAAGACAACACACATGTTACTGTATAAAACGTTAGGTGTGTAAACACCAACAAGAATACACCCTGTGCCACAGATACGTTAATGTGGGTTACACGGCATGTGAGTTGGTTTTTTTAAGAGCATCCGGGAAATAATTTTTTTGGATTATCTTACCACACAGGTATTTTCCTTTATTAAAAACAAACAAAAAGGAGAAATGATTCTTTTTAAATTTACCAATATACAATAAGACAATAAAATAAAAATAGATAGTATTAGACTTTCAAAATCCATACCTGTAATTGTGAAGCCACCTAAAAAGGAAAAGAAAAAGAAATGAATGTTAAAAATGAAACACTCTAAATGACCTAATACTAAAATCCCACTGTCTGGTAACCCACCCAGGATAAAAAGACCTTGTGGAATTGCATCTTAACATTCTTAATTTAAGATGTTGACCATCTAGTCATGACTGAATCACAAATTATTTTACATTCTGAAATTTTGTGCACAAACGTAATTCTTGTGCATACCTAGGAAATCAATGATTTTTAAAAGGTTTATAACCTATAAAATATAAACCATTTGACCTTCATAAAAGAGGTCAGTGGCTCTCTGTAACAGTATTTCTAGCAAATCGATAGAGATTAACATCAGAGAGATACCGTGTCACCTGACAGAAGTGGAAAATAACCTAGAAAAATGGAAAGAAAATGCAAGAAATGAAATGCTTACCAAGCTCATTCAACAACAGGGCTGTGAAGAAACAAAGACAAAGACAAACACAGAGTAAGAGACCAGATGAGTAATGAAAAGAGGAATATCAGCAGAAAGAAGTCCAGGCAGATCTACCTAGAGTAGTGGGGACCCACTGTTACAAATTGGCGCACCCCCAAATAATTTGACAAATGAACAATTCCCAAAGAAGTGTCTACACACGGGTGTGATTAAAGAAACAACATACGGGGTGAAACAATTTTGCCTAGTGGGACATTTCTATTTAATAACTTTTAAAAACGGACATAGGACCAGGAAAAAGCTCTCTCTGGACATTTTAGTGGATGATATTTTGCCCACCAAGAGTTGCTCATGGTTTTAAGATTGTTAAAGTCAGAGTCTCAGTAATTAATGCTGATTGATGTGTCCTTTGCTGTGACTTCTGCACATTAGCAGACAGTGAACACTTTTAGAGGACGTAACACTCATAGGAGGTTGACAAGGCAGGGACAGTGTGGAGAGCATACTGTAAGTCAGGGTGTGCGCTGTCAACCCAGACGGTCCTGTAGCACTTCACTTCAGCAAAAGCTACCTGGATGATTCCATCAAGTAGATTACTTCAAGGTTCAGTGTAGGTGGGGATATTAAAACTACTGTTTAGACTCCGTTTTCCCCCTTTTGAGGGTAGCATTAGAGGATTCATTCTTATACAAGTCAGTACTTTTATTTATAGTGAGAAGAATCCACCTGGTGAGGAGAACAAACTGGATAATGCTTTCAAGAAGTTTTAATTTGGTTTTACATGAGAGCATATCTTACTAAAATGCTACTGAAAGATATGCCTCCAGGACATATTTCCCTGAGATGAAAGTGCTTTCTAGGAACACATTTACAAGTAAGTAATAGGCTGGATATTCTGTAAGCAACTCTTAAGTTCTTACCAAAGGACCATATCCTTCAGACTAAAGAAAACTGGTAGGACAACGGTCTCATATACTCGAATGTGGTGCATTTTAAATGCTGTATTTGTCATGTCAAGTGAACATGAGAATATTGATAATGCTATTCTTTAAATATACCTGTTGTTATTTTATAAACCTGGGTTCTTTAAAGAAGTGTAACTATTGAATTCTGATGTTTTTCATTAATTGCCTTTGGACCTATCCAATACTACATACATGCACTAAGTCTTTTTTTCTTCCAATTTATGTTGAGATATGATTGAAATGCTATTGAGTAGTCATTCTCACGTTTTAGAGAAGACAATAATTTTAGCCACTGTGTGGAGTGGACCAGAGCAGTGAAAACTAAATGTTTTTTACTATGATCATTCAGAATTATAAACATTATATCCAGTGTTGATTAAATCTGGTTGCAATCAAGGTTAGTTGGCATGTCCCAAAGAAAATGGACATTACTTGGTGCATTTGTGAATTTGGGAAGGGGAATGAAACTGCCAAAGCTTCAAAGGCAATGAAGTATAGTATTTGGAAGCCAAGGAAGAAGAGAGAGTTAAGTGTGAGAGTAAGGAGACACGGAGAGAGAAGAGTACAATTTCTCGCTGGTATGTCTTTGTATACTCTCACACCTTTCATTCCTCTTCTTATCCATTTTGGTTCCTCAAGCACAAGGGAGAAACTGCACTCTTTCTCATATTCCTCACGGTCAAATATTCTAATGGTAATGATCTTCCTGTGGGAACACAAGACAAAGGCAAAACAAATGGTTGGAGTCGCACACTCATGCTCTAGGTGTTCACCAAGCCAGATGTTACTGTGATGTTATGGAGAATGGAGAGCACACAGGCCACCTCAAATACGTAAAAGGGCATCTGGGAGACTTTTAGCTGGTCTCCCTTAAGCTTGCCTTGCCAACTGATCATTGTAATGTTTTTTTTTTTCCCCTTGTTTAGTAGTCAGATGGTACCATGAATTGTAAAGGTCAATCAAAACATTGGCTCCATTTTAAAATTGCATAGCATTTGCACCAGTGTCCTCAGACATACAAACCTGACTTTGCTGAAAATCACCCAAGAGGTCTGAGAGTTAGAGTGATGACAACTGGCTGCTATGGCTGAAGGCCAGGCCTACTGTGGCCCCAGGGGAGAGCCCTGCCCTGTTACATAGACGGAGGCCTGTGTGCATGGTTAAGTCATGTTCTGAAGAGTGCAGGCATCCAGGGGTGGCACAGGCCAGCAGAAACTGTCCAGGTCAGTCCTGGAGCAGCTCCCCCACCTTTCTTCTCACTCATCTCCACCAGGCGGGGCTCTCCAATCTCAAGGAAGAAGGTCTTGTTTTTCTCATATTCCTCATCATCAATTACCTTGACTGATATTGTTTTGCTGAAACAGAGAAGAATAGAAATTGACGAACCGGAGGAAGAGGAAGGAGAGGGATGTAGAATAGAGCAAAGCAACATGAATGCATTGCACTTCCTGCAACGTACTGGGAGTTTCTCCTTCAGGAATGGGAATACAGTAAGTCTGAAAGATGGGAGAGGTCACAGAGTACATAGCTCTCCTGCTCAGAGTTATGCAATTACTGTGGACTAAGTACAGCACGTAATCCTCACAGGTTCATCACCATTAGGAGAAGGAAAAGCAAAGAAACACATTAATAAGATACGTTACTTGGTTAAAGACTTAATAATCAGCTGGTCTCAACTGTACCCTAGAATTTGCTCTTGTAGAACGAAGGGATCAACAGAGTTTACCTAAGTGATAAGGTAAACTTATGTCTCATTTTCCCCCTCCCGGTGCTTTATGTATCTTCCAAACATCATGATTCTGCTGCTAAGTTTTATTGAAATAATAAGTGTGTCTATTTCAGAAGAAACAACAAGCCTCTATCTAAACCTATCTTACCCCAGAACAAAGCTTTTATTGCATTTTGCCAGATTTTCCTCCTAGACAAGACAGCAAATTATTCATGATTTATTTACTTCTCTCAAGATGGGAGTGCTGGCCCCGAAGCAGCTATTCTCAGAGTGGGGTGTCAAGTGGAGAGAATCATTGTTACAGCTCTTTTCTTCTCTCCCTAAAGTTGAGTTTGAACTTCCACTGCGTGTGCCAGTCATACTACTTTAAACCTCAGTGATAAAGACATTTCAACAAGAATCATTCCTATAATCCAAGTGCTTGCCTTACAGTCATAGGGCTGTGAATGACTGATACAGCAAATGCAAATATTATGCAAATCTCAACTTCCCATAAGTAGCCTAGGTAACTCTGAAAATAAATCAAGGCTAGTTTTAGTTAATAAGGACTCAAGAAACTCATGTATGGGTATTACTTTAGAGCCACCTACATAATGATTTGTCTTTGAAACTATTTTCAAACATTATCCAATGACATTTTAAATTAAAGTACCTGAAAGTGTTTTTTTATAAAGTTATGAGGACATGCCATGTTTTAGCTTTTTTAAAGGATTTTCTAGCTCTTCTGCAAAGAAATTGTTTTATAAATTTTTATTGATCAAAGTCACCCAGTTTTGCTTAGACTGATACTAGGCAAGGAGGATTAGTCTTCCATTCTTATGCAAATATGACATCCATGAAAGTGGCTTTTTAATTCTCTAAATTTCCTAGCCTCTCTTGTCATGTAACTAAGTCTTGTTTTCCTGGCCTAGCATTATAGAAATGAGATTAACCATTCTGTTCCTTTGAAGCCTAGGATACAGCCTCTGTTCCCCGGTTAAAGAACGTTCCTGCATGATGCAGCATCACAATTTCTCCTGCGGAGTAGGAGTCCATGAATGTGCTCTTTCAAGTGAGTTCTTTCATCAATCACTTTTCTCGAGTAAGAAACTACAAAAAGTATGACCGTTGTAATTCCATGTAATAGTCATCAGTCCCTAGGTAACTTCTAGAACTATGTTCTGTATGTCACCTACATACCTATTTGTAAAGGTATCAACCTGCCCTGATTAACACAGATGTTTAGTTACTACTTTATATCCAAAGTATTAGAAAAAGCACGACAGGAGATAAGGTATTATGACGTGTACTTTCTACTATAGAACTGAGTTTGATGTTTAAATTGGATGAAACCTACCCTAAAAAAACCTGGAAAATCATTTTGTTATAAATTCTAAAGGGCATGCTTTTTGATATTGTACAGGTTTGTAACCTTAAATGGCAGTTGTACACATTAGCATCAGGAGACCAAGAATGAAAAGATGTGATGGACGTTGAAAGTGCCTTATTATGATCCCGTAAACTTCTTGACCAACACACTTGGTTTGAAGGTAGAATACATGAAACCTGCCATCCCCTACTTGGGCGACTCAGGTAATGATCTTGATCATCTGACTTTGTTTCCCCATCTTAGCATGCATCACACAATTAAGATTGTAGAAATATAGACAGACAATGGAGTATGATTTGATGCAGTCTTTCTAATGAAGCTCATATTGTGTAGGAAAGGGACCAGTTTCATTCCCACAGGGCAACATGAGATCTTAATCACAAAAACAGAATCCCTGATAAATACCATAGAATATAATTCTCTATTGCTATAACAGCTTTATTTTTTTATATTCCAGAGAGCAGATGAATGTGAACTATTTAGCTATTATAAAATGAAAATGTCTATGTAGTCCTACATATTTATATATTTGTGGTACCACTATTCATTAGGCTCATAACCCTTAGAAAATATTGTAATATTTGATAACTGTGATGCTAGGGAATCAAAGATGAAGAAAAAGATTAGGTACCTGGCAAAGACATCTAAAGTAGATAGAATTTGCATAATGGCATATCATTTTAGATTCATTAGTGAGAGAATCAATAATGCCCCTGACAAGCAGAGTCATTAAATTATATATTGATTTTAGCTCATCTTCCACACTAAGCTATTAATAGAAAATTTGATTATTAAAGAAATTTTAGTCAGTCAAAAGTGGCAGGATGAAGTCAGTCATGATTAATTAGCCCTTTATATCAAGAGAGGCAAATTCGGAAATCTTTTGTACTGCTCACCGTTTGCTTCAAACAACTATTTTTCCTCTACTCGCCCTATCAAAATTGGGGTTAGATAAAGTAATCCTTAAAAGAACACATCCTTGGGATGCCCCCATCTCCCTTCAGAGCCTAACATGTGCAAGAACTGCCTCCTCTCTAAACTGTGGGGACAGTATAGGAGATGAGATGGCCAACCTTGGTGACAAATCTAATTTATCTGTAGAAGCATCCCTTGGTTCCACACTGAGTAGTGTAGCAGAAATACAATCCTAAGGACCTGAGGGAAGGCCACCCCCCCGGGGTGCCCCAATGGACACCCTTGACCTTGGCGTCATCACAAGGATGCCGAGTAACCGGGGACACAAATTAACATTGGCTGCTCTGTCCAGAGTGGAAAGCACCTGGTTAGCTCTTACTTAAAAGGTTAACAAAACAAAGGAGGAATCATTGGTTAGATGTAACCCTTAAATCAAAACCAATTATTCCATGGATAAGAAAGAAAAAACTTGTATCATGTGGCTTTCATTTATTATTAGAAAGAAAGGTGAACTGACTAGATTTTTTAAAAAATCTGTTTGAAACTGAATTGTGTACTTTAAAATGTTTGCTAAGTAACAAAGCAGTTAAAAATCTACGTGAACATTAAATATTTCTCAGCATGACTAGCAACTTCAGGAAAGTGCATTTCATTTCTAGAAGGAGAAAAATGGCTAAGAAAGATCAATTTGTTTATTGGAAAAGTACAGATCATTCCTTTTGATTAGAGTAGTATCTTTTATGTGATGGGAACCAAACCAATACCCATCTGTACTTTCCAGTCTCTTCCTGTCTTCCCTGAGGAGTCCTAAAGGACCTCAAACCTTCAAAGAGACTCATAAGGAGCCCTCACATTGGGAGGTAGCTCAGGAAGAGGATAGAAATAAGTGCCTTTGGTAGTGAGGGCTGACAGAGAAAACCTCTTCAAAATATATTTGAGTTTTTCATTGTTGAGCTCAAGTGGTATCACAAGCCTGTTGGTCCTGTGCCGCCTTTTCTCTAAGATGGCCCTTGGATTTGGAAGACGAAGAGCTGGAGGGTGAGAGTTTGCTTTTGAAAGTTGTCACAGAAAAGATTTCAGTGAAGATTTTCCACAGTTAGACGCTGCAATAATTTTTCCTTTCCAAGAATAAATAATTTCTCTCTCTTTAGGCAAAGTCAGAAGTCCACAGAAAGATTGTCACTTTGCATCCCTTAATCCTCAGATTTTCCTAACTTTCCTAGAAGTCATTTCTACCAAATACAGTCTCAGAGCAAACAATGACTTTCAGAGAAGTCATTTCCAGTTACAAAGTGAGTCTCCTGCGACCAGCTCCAAGGCCAGTATCTCTCAATAATGTGATCCACAGCCAACAACCAAGTCCCTTATTCATTCAACTCTGCAGCATTTTTATGACCACATTAAAGAATCTGGCTCATTATTCTAAGCAGATCCAGAGAATTATTGGTTTATATTTACATCCACTGTGTCTGTATGAACAATGATAGAATTTCAGTTCTATTTTGAGAAGGTCTGTAGCATATATTACATTCTCTAGCTAGCTTAAAAAGTTCCATCTTGGAAGTGATACAGGTGTCACGGAAAGGTGCATTGAGGATGGAAGGGCTTAACTCTGAGTAACCAGCCAACAGAGACTGTGTCACCTGGGGGGCAGGTATTTGTCCGCATGAGGGAATCTTGGGCCACGTTCCAGAAACACAGATCCGGATCTGCACTTTAACAAAACCCCCAGATGATTCTGTTGCAGGTTAAACTCTGAAAGGTATTGTTATAAAGAGCAACATGGGTTCTTTCACTGGGGGGGAGGGTGTAATATATTAAGTGTCATGTGCTTGTGCTTCAGACCTGGCTGTATGTTATCACCTTGTGAGGATTTGAAAGTTACCAATGCCTGGGCCCACTGCAGAATAAACTTGCTGGTTGTGGAACTCAGGTACAGTGTGGATATAAATTGCAAAAGCTTTCACTCTGGGTAGGAAACTGGCTAATGAAAGGTAAGAATGTACAGCCTAATTTTTAAAGAATTTACTCAAAAATGAAATGAAATCATTGAGACATTTGTGCACCTTTGCTTAGTTATTGTGAGTTGAGCTAAAATAACATATGTAAACAACTTAGATGTGATCAATCAATGAGTGGATAAAGAAAATGTGGCACATATACACATACCTAATATTACTCACCAACAAAAACAATGCTTTTGCAATAAAATGGATGCAACTGGAAACTGATGTGCTTGGTGAGATAAGCCAGTCACACAGACACATACACACACACACGTTACATACATACACACACGTTACATACATACTTCAGATCAGGAAAAACATTCTATATAATCT